AACCCACTTCTATAAGTCGAAAGGAGACTGCGACCATACCCGAGGCCACAACATCTTGGTCTTCACATCCACATTACTTATGTTTTGTCGTGTTTGCCTTAACCAGAATACATCACCAAAATACACCTTTCACTCTAGCTGTTTGGAGAATCGACGCCTGTATAATGAGATATCAGAGGCGGATAGTCATTGTGGGCAAAACTTTCCAGTTGCAGAGAGCAGAACAGTCTTTCAAAGTATGACCTTTTCCCAACGAGTGTCTACTTCGCAAAAGCCAGTCAACGGTGTGGTGTTTCGGCTGATATGAGTAGTACAGGAACTTCTTGTTCGGATCAATTACAATTTCACACATGCCTTCCCGCCATTCTCACACTGGCTCGCAAGCACTCTTGGCCACCCGTTCTGACTGAAAAGAGTGGGTCAGGGGTCACCCTTCCGGGGCCGCCCTCTTGACAATTCCTTCTACATCTTTCCTTTGTCCCAGCCCATTGAAGAGGCGAGGTATGCAAAAAATGTCGCTTTTAAGCAGGCGGAAAATAGAGACATACTTTGGCGAGCCAAAGGACGTGAAGCGTGAAGTCGTATTGGAGGGACCGTGACTCGAGCTAGCGGTCTTGGAGGCTGTTTTCGTCTCGCCAAATCAATGCACTTCCGCAGCGACGTGGTAACCGTCGGACCGGACCGCCTTACCACCGGTGCTCACGAGGGCCAATCGACACTTGAGCATTGTCCAACTGCTGCCAGGTCAGCCGAAAATCGCACCGAATTAGGGAAATTAAGGAGCCTTTTTCCCATCGAATAGCCTTGTCTACACGATTTGAGTGGGAGACATCAGAGACTACATCTCGCTTGCAGATTTGTAAATCCGGCCTGTTACCTGGTCGGCCTAGGCCATCGCTGGCCTAGGTGGACGGAAATTCGGAGGGTGTCCGGCTCCATTCGAAACAAAAAGTAGTTATTTGGTGAATACGAACTTTAGTTATCTTTGGTCGTATCTGATGCAATCGGTCTGAAAAGGCCAATAGTAGAACTAATTGAAGATGTGAAGACCAAGATGTTGTGGCCTCGGGTATGGTCGCAGTCTCCTTTCGACTTATAG